CCGCCCGCCCAGGATGCGGCTGCAGGGCGAGGTCGCGCACGGCGAGGAGCTCGAGGTCGCGGGCGAGGGGTGGCACACGCGGGCGCACAACATGCGCACGCACCTGGGCACCTTCCAGTGGCGCTACGCGGGCCGCCGGGAGAGGAGGGCCGTCGGCGCCAGCAGCCTGCTTGTCATGGACCAAATCACGAGCGTCGCCCTGCTGGGCGGCAAGACGGCGGAGCGGCGGAGGAGGGTCGCGCAGCTGGTGAGGAGCGAGGCGCTGCGCACGCCGGGGACCACGGGCGCCACGGCTGGCAACGGCGGCCGTCTGCTCATGGATCTGAGCGCGTGGGCGGGCAGCAAGGCCGAGGTGAGGGCCATGGAGGTCCTCGTCCTGAGCGGGTGCGTCGTCATGTTGAAGAAGGAGGTTGATCGGAGGAGGGCGGCGCAGTTTGTCGTCCTGGCCGGTGCTGCGGGCGGGTCGTGAGCGTCGTCGGCGGGGTTTCTTTTGGGAGGAAACACCACAGGGTCTCTTTTTTGGTTCTTCTAAAATGGAGATTTGGTTGGTGTATTACGGGGTTGATGTGTCGGCCTCTTGGTTCTTGGTCTGGGCCCTGGGAAGCATTGAGTTAGGGAGTGTCAATATGTGACACATGTTTGCATTGTCTATTATATGCCAAGCTCGAAAGAAGCCGTGCTTTGATTTGTATGAGAATCCCGTCGGGTTAGAGACAGTTTCACAGCCCGGTGGTCGAATTTGTCATGTCAAATTGCCTTCTTGGCTGTGCTGCAGAGCCCTCCCCTCGTAGAATTTCTACCGGCTGGACCATGTACCAAATCACTAGGCAGTGTTGGATACAAGTACTAATTACATGTAAGAAGCTTGTAGACGCGGAGTCCTAGTGAGCCAGCGGGCGCGAGTCAAGTTGTCAAGTTGACTCTTTTGATTTGGAAACCCAGACTCTTGGACAGGGCACTTTTTCGATTAGGCTACAAAAGTCTCAATAAGCCTAGCTGTCTGCGGTTGGCACTGTCCTTTCAATGATGTTTCCCGACTTCTCCAAATCGTCCTTGTCTGTAAATCGAAGCCCCGACAAGTCACACCTGTAAACAATGCATCGTGCCCGCCCAACAGTCTAGTCTGTGGCTGCGCGGCTGTCTATGGATGAGCTTGCAGCATGACGATTTTCAGGGCCAAGCTTCTTAAAGTCATTTTTCCCGCCTACTATAGCGGCTTGTTTGCAAATGCTTAATATAGGGGCGTCGGGAGCGATCTCAGCCATAACCACAACGGTAGCGATGATAGTTTGATGGTAATCAGAGCATTAACTGTAGTGTAGTTTTATAGTTTTATAGTTTTTATAGTTTTAAATATAAAAAATTATATTAAATCTAATAAAATACTTATAGAATTATAAGTTTTATAAATAATTAATATAAATTTTATATTATAAGTTAATATTAAAAAAGTGAGTCCTTATATAGTATTATAAGCTTAAAACTTAAAAAACTATATTTTATAGTTTTTATAGTATAGTATAATATAGTGTATTTTTAAAAAATTATATAATCTAGTTTTTAAGCTTATAATAAGCTAAAAGAATCCACTTTTAAGCTCACGGGAATAGGTTATAATATTAGCTAATTTATGTATTTATTATTATAATTTAA